TCATCTTCTGTGTGGGTGTGAGTCTGCTTTTTACGTGGAAGTGTGGTGGTGGCATCTTGTGTGGCCCTCGTGGGTGTGGGTCTGGTGTCATTCATCATGTTAGGTACTCGTCTGTTCATGAGGGCGGGTTTCCAAATGGCTGGTAAGCGGGAGGTGTCATCTCTTGTATTCATGCTTTGTGGGCGTTTTTCTATCTCTATGGCTTCTCTGATTATTCTTTTGGGTGGTTTGCTTGTGCATAGGACAAGCAAATAAGACACCAAGTTACCAACATCCTATGCACAAGCAAACCACCCAAAAGCAACTTGCAGAAAAATGAAATCAAAGCGCTACAAACCCTGAAAAGAGATAGCAAAGACCTCCCAGCAGATAAAGGGAATGCCACTGTAGTAATGGACAGAAACGACTATGAAACAAAATTGACAGACCTACTCCAAGACTCCACATACCAACCCATAAACACAGACCCAACCACATATCTGGAAAAATTAACCAAGAAGAAAATTATAACCAGCCACATAAGCAAAGAGATCCAACACACGATCATACCCAGAGAGAAATCTTCCAGATGCCCCAAACTATACGGCCTCCCAAAAATACACAAAGAAGGCATACCTCTCAGACCCATAGTCAGCTCCAGAGGAGCACCACTACAAAACCTAGCTAAACACCTAGCAAAAGAGCTACAGCCCCATGCTGAAACAGCAGCTTCACATGTACAAAACTCATACCACTTCTTGGAATTGATCAAAGATCTACATGTGGAGCAGGAAGATCTGCTTGTAAGCTTCGACGTGGTTTCACTATTCACTCAAGTCCTGATAAAAGAGACCCTGGAAATCATCAAAAATAAATACCAACCAGCTAAACACCTCATGGAACTAACAGAACACTGCTTAACCAACACATATTTCATATACAAAGGACAAAGATACAAACAAATTGAAGGGGCCCCTATGGGATCACCACTGTCACCTGTCATTGCAAACCTGTTCATGGAAGAATTCGAATCCAGAGCCCTGGCCAATGCCATCCACAAACCCAAACTATGGTTAAGATACATCGATGACACTTTCGTGATTTGGCCCCATGGAAAAGAAAACCTAAACAACTTCCTAACACACCTAAACAGCACACACCCCAAAATCAAGTTCACCATGGAAACGGAAACAAACAAACAACTACCATTCCTAGATGTACTAATCTACAAAAAAACAGATGGCACACTAGGACACACCATATACCAGAAGAAAACACACACCAACCACTACCTCAACGCCCAATCCCACCACCACCCAGCACAGATAAACTCCGTGGCTAAAACACTAATTACTAGAACCAAACGCCTGGCAGACAAGACACACATTAAGACTGAACTATGCACCCTGACCAAAGTACTGACAGCCAACGGCTTCCACAAAAGCAAAATCACCGGCTTGATCCACAAAAACACACTGAGACATAATAGAGACCCAGAAGATGAACAGACCTATGGAACAGCTGTCCTGCCCTACATAAGAGGCACTACAGACAAAATTAGTAAGATACTACACAGACACCACATCAAGACTGCCTTCAAAACAGACAGAAAAATAGCAGCCATCCTCAGAAACCCCAAAGATAAAATTGACCTGGAAAACCAAGGCATATACGAAGTCCCCTGTGCATCATGCCCGGCCACATACATTGGACAGACCAATAGAAGAATAAGTACCCGCCTGGATGAACACAAAAATGCAATCAAAAAGCTGGAACACACTTTCTCACTAGTCCAACACATGGAAGCCACAGGTCATAGCATCAACTTCAATGGCACCAAAACCCTAGCCACTATAGAAAACCCCAGCCACAGAATCATCAGAGAAGCCATAGAGATTGAAAAAAGACCTGAAAGCATGAACAGAAGAGATGATTCCACCAGACTGTCAATCATTTGGAAGCCTGCACTCACAAACAAAAAAATCTCCACACCACAAGCCAGACAAACACCTGGGCACAAACAGATCCCCCCTGATACCTCCAGCTCAAACACACCCCAACCAGGCACCCAGATGAAACCTAGCTTCCTAACTAATGATAGCCGTCCATTCACCCGGAGCCAAGCTGCACTAAAGGCCTCCAATAAAGTAACACAATGTTGCCAGCCAATCAAGATACAAAAAGAGCCAAAAAACAGACAGAAGATATTAGAAACACCAATCAAGCAGAACACAGCAAACTCCAAGACCAATAAACACAGACCAAGACTCTCAACCAATCAGGATGAAGAAAAAACCATTCTGGCACAGCAATAGGCTGCCCCAAATTCAAATCTGAAACCACTGAAAAAGCCTGACTCACAGATGAACACTATACAGAAGCCTGATGATGGCAGATGAGATTCTGCCGAAACGTCGCTACAACTTTAAAAGCACAACTGCTATGACGTGGGAAAATACCCGAACAAAGCCGAATGTTTTCTGAGGTTTTCGTGGGTATTTGTATGTGGATCTTTGGTTATTCGAGTTTTTAAGTAACTTCCAATTTTACGTGGGAGAAAACCCGAATAACCAAAGATAGATAGATAGATAGATAGATAGATAGATAGATAGATAGATACATACACACACACACACACACACACACAGAACTGAAGCCTTTTTTCACTGCTACCTTGTTACCACTATTATTATAAAAAGATTAAAAAATGCCTTATAAACTTGTAAATGTTTTTTAGGGGAAAATATATATTTTTGAAGTTATGACTCAAAATACAGTACCTGCTGGAATGTTAACATAAAATATTTGAAAACCACAGTATATTCACAATAACATACAGTAATAGTTAAAAGTTTGTGAATCCTTTTGGATTTTTAGTATTTCTGCATAAAATGATCTAAAACTAGATAAAGAAAACCCAGTGAAACAAATGAATAAAAAACATCATACTTGTTCATCCATTCATTGAGAAAAATTACATCCTTGAGTAAAATTTCTCGGAGCTGATGTGCAGGACTGATCAATAGTTTTAGAAAATGATTAATTGCAATGATTGCTTGCCCAAGGGGTATGCATCATTGAAAAAAATGAAGGTTCACATTTGCTATATAGAAATATGTAGGTTTAAATCATTTCCCCCAATAAATAAATGAACATCTACTGTATGTCTTTCACTCATTTGTTACTGGCTCCTCTTTATATTATTTTAGGACTTGTATGCACATTAGAATAAGTATGTTATGTACATTATAATATGTATTAAGCCACACATGCAGAAATATTGAAAATTTAAAAGGGTTCACAAGTTTTAATCATCTCTGTAGACTTAATTTAGGTTAATGTTTAATTTTAGCCAATATCCTTCAGTTTGCATTATTTTTTAGTAGGATTTCAAAGTACTATATACCTTCCCAGATGATGGAGGAGAAGGACTGGCACAGGGACTGGGATAACTGATACTATCTGTAGATTTCACAGATGTTTGGTCTGCCCTGTCATCTGTACTTCGTTTGGAATGCACAACACCCCTTTCTTTGTATTTCAGTGGTTGGTGAAATGCTGGAGAGGTAGATTTCATTAAGACTCTGTAAATGAAAAGCAGAATGTAGTGTTTAATAAAATTAAAACTGTGGTTCTAACCAGACATACTGAAGCTTTATTGTTGTTTTAAAAGGATTTCTGCAGGATGCACATTTCATATGCACTTATACAAGACAATCTCCTCATTGTAGTATACAATGTGTATATGCCACAAATTACGTGGCATAACCATACCTGGTGTTAGGTAAATAGCTCAGAAGCATAGAAATACTTAACTGTTTTCAAGGTATTTCTGGGATTTGTTATTATGAAGCTAGGTTTAAGATTTGGGAACGGGAAGAAATTTATGTAATACTTACTGATACCTAATATAATCAGAGCCATAATCTGAGGTATCCTAAAGGTATCCTTGGGCTTCCTGCAAAGTACCTTAATTTCCTGGAAAAATAACAATACTAATGCTAATGTAAATGTAAGGTTTAAAAGAAGTGTTATAAGAGATACAATACCTTAATATTGTATTGTTTTGTTCTTTGTTTATATCATAGCTTAATGTTGCTTTGGGAGTATTTCTGAAAGAGAAAAAGTAAAGAATTAAGTATATTTCAGAGATTATCATGATTGTCATCATTATGACTGCTGACTCCAAAAAAGATTTTCTTGCCATTTGGACAGAGAAGGCACATTTTCATCAGTGCCACAAAACCACAATACTTAGAAGACCTGAAGCTCAATCACTGTCAAATGTACCCTACGATTTTTAGCAGAAATAACTGGAGAATAGTTTTGAAAGATGTTATAACCAAATTCAAATTATACTCACATCTTTCATAAAGCATTCCTTTATTTCCTATGTATTTGATTTTGAAGTTAAAGAGTTTATGTAGTATCTGGCTTTATGTTAAAACTTATGTTTTGTAAGTTTATACACATACACACACACAGAGGACTCACAGTAAAACTATATAGTGAGAGATCTTTTATATATACTTGTATGCAAACATATCTATTTACATATTGACTTTCCACAATCAGAGAACTAGCAGAATCTTCCCATATAATATAGCATGTTTTTAAACTGTTTGGAAAATAATTATTTGATATTCTAATAAAACTAAACTGCACTTTAGCAGGTTATCAATGTTTTAATTAATGAAAACAAAGCAATAAAAGAAGCAGTTTTAGGTAGTAGTGAAGTGGCCATTCATCCATCCATCCGCCCATCCATCCATCTATCTATCCACCTATCCATCTATCTCATTCAACTGCAGAATTATGCATTTTTTCGGAAGAGTAAACAGCAACCAGATGCCTTAATCCACTTTCCCCAAATGACATAGGTTATGTAGCACCAAGAAACAGGTATACGTCTTCCTGAAAGAAGCACAAACACATAATATGAGGTGACCCACCTAGCTGAACAGCGAATTGTTTCAGTAGTCCTGTCATTTCTAAAAGAAAAAACAAACCTGAAAACTATTTCTCCATTTGTTACTAGGATTCCTTAAAAATGAGTTTCCCCATTAGTAAAACTTGAGATTATTAACCTTTCTGTATTAAAAGCATCATCTGCAAACTCTGATTCTCCTGAGCTTTTTCGACTGGTGTTTGATCTCCAAGAAGATGCCAAGGGAAGTTCTTCGGATGACATAGGTCTTGGTCTTTGCCCAATTCCTGAAGGCTGCTGCAGACCTGCAGATTGTTCTTCAGTGCTCAAAACTGCAATGATTGCTCGTATTGTTGCTTCATCAACTTGAGACCATGGCTTTGAAGGAGCTCTCATACGTCGCAGAAATAAACTATGCCATTTTTGTCTTAACTGCAAGAGGAGGCTAGCAGCCTGTTTAAAAAAAACAAGTTTTATTTGAGCATACATACCTTTGAGTCTTTTTTGAAACTTGACAATTCAGATACAAATAACTATGTAAACTGAACTTTCTACAGCTCCAATACTATTAACTGAATTAAATGACAAATATAAGATCTATGAGTCATAAACATACTATATTTTTGCATTCCATACTTATCCCATGAAATAGATATTTTGCTGCATTTTCCCTTTTTTATATATGTGAACATGAACATTTCCAAATCTACAGCCAATCTATTACATCCTCAAATATAGGGACAATGCAAAAGACCTGAAAGCAAACTGAACTTTCATGACCTTAAATGGATAACAGGAAGATAACTGTAAGTGGTCTGAATTTTAATTTTTGTGCAGAATCAAAAGACAAAAGAAAAGAAACCTTGTATTAACACCATCAACATTGAACTTTTATCGTCTAATATGAATTGGTACCCAGGAGCATACTGACAAAGGGCAGCAATTCCACTCAGCAGTCAGAGCAAGCAGCTTGATTGACAATCTCTTTGAAGATTTAATCTACTCTATTTTAAAGCTTTGTATGCCACTGGCAATTGCCACATTGTGTGCCAACAAAATGTTATGTTCATTAAGAATTATTTGAAACTACTGATAACCAATTTTATGGAGTTCATATTTGTGCTGGAAAAATATATTTATATCTATGTTCTCTGCACCATCCTTTTTTTAAAATAAATCCTCAAACCTTTCATATCTTCTCCAATTTTTCAACTCTTTATTTCCAAAATTACTTTACTTTCCCCCCCCCCCCAACAACTAAATTCCAAATACAGTTACACAGATAAATGCAAGATGCTACAAAAGTTCCGTGAATTTACTGAAATATAATAGTACAGATTTTTTCTTCTTCCACAAATCTATATTTGGAATCCTCAGCTTAGAAACCTTTAAGCAAATATTTCTCTCTTTTTTTTTTTGGAGGGCGGGGGGAGAGATGTATTAGATGTTGTTTTTTTTAGCAATCAGTTACCTCTGGATCTAATTTGAAATTGAGCCACTCATCTAATTTTAAAGCAGCCAAGTTTGCAGTTGTTCGATCCTCCATTTCACTATCACTGCTATCGTTAGGGACACCATCAACTACATTAGAAAACAAAGATCCTATGTATTAGTCATTTTAAAATCATATTTAAATTTTGAGATTTTAATTATTAATCTCTACTAAGAACTCCCAAAAGTAAATATTCAATTTTCCTAAAACACAAAGTTATAGAACCATTGTTTTTCCAGGAAAGAGGAAACATTTCTGGAATCTGTATATTATGCACTGTATATATACAATCATATTCATTTACTTTGCAAATTAGTTTACGTAACTAGAACAATTATGATATATCGAGACTTATACAACTTTTTAAAGAATATACTGTTAGAAAGTACTAGAAATTTAGAGCTGTATAATTATTACAAGTTAGTTCAATATTATAGAAATATTATACTTGCAATCTTATTTAATATTTAATTTTTATAATTAGAAATGAAATCAGGACTATATATGTATACATTCTCAGACAAATACATAAATATAAAATTATGATTGTTCATACTGTGATTTACCCACCCACCCGTCATCAATCGCTGACCATCCATTTTTCTTTTACCCAACCCATTAAAAATCATGTTTAGATTTACATTGTACAACACATGCAACAAAAATAACCCCTTATGCACGTTGACATTTTGATCCAGTAATTATAACATTAATTTTCAAGGGTTTTTAAAATATAAATTAAAGGAATACAAATACCCTACCTCGGAAGGAAGAAGGCTCCTGTAAAGCATTACTTGGCAACCTAGCTGATCCACAGAAGAGGGCCACTGTGACTGGAGTCACAACTGAGCAGCACCTGATATTAGCTATTCGGTGGGCTCTTGTCATTTCATCATATATAAGCCAGTCAGTGGGAAGTGCTTGAATAGCTGCTACTTGGCCATTCGCAGGAGGAATCTGTTAGCAGTTCCAACAAAGTAGTTTGTTTCAGAATAATAAAAGAGGCAATTAAAAAACATTCACTTTAAACTATGTTGCACAAATTAACAAGAAAAGAATTGGGATCAGTTAATGTTCTCAGATTATTAATCTAAGCAGCTGTAGAGTTTTGTTAAAATTTTAGGCAGGATATTTCATGTAAATCAATTTTAGTTTGCTGAAAGCCAAACAATCTATTTGTATTCTAGAACTGAATACCTTACAACAAAAATGTTGTTAAATATCAAATGCAACAAATCTATGGTTAATAAAAATGTTAAATATATATATGTGTATATGCATGCGTGTAGAGAAACATAACACTATTTCCCATATATTCACCAAGTATAAAAGATTATATGCAGAGTTTATTCATGTAATTCATAACCTGATGTATGTCTTTATTTAATCTTCCACTGGCTAATCAGATTCAGACCTGCTTAATTCTTGGGTGGGAGATTTTCAAGAAAAACAAAAAGCTCTAGACTGAATGGGAAAGATGAAAAAAGGACCCAGAAGAAAATAGTGGCAAACAATTTAATTCTGCTAAGAAAATACATGAATGTGTCTCTGAAATCAACAAAGAGTCATGCTCAATTTTAAAAAGACTTTATCTTTTCACTTGTCCTCTAAACAGAAATTAATCAATAGTTGAACTCTTTAATCTTCCTACAAGCTGTTCAATCAGCAAACTAGGTTTCACTTTTCATACTTAGTAAATGTTTTAAAGCCTGGTAAATTATGTGAGAAATCCTCATGGGAAAAGGTATCCCAAATATCCGAGGGAGTTGCCCATAGATCTGGGATTCTCCCACCACCACCAAAAAAATCTGAATAGCAAAGTGTGCAAAGCACTTGAAAAAGATGCACCACAAAGTGTATTAGAATAAGCCAAGTATTAAACCTAGGACACACTTAGTTTGGGCCTCAGTAACTGCTTTGAAGGCTATCTCCAATTCTTTTTTCTCATGGGCCAGGACTGCAACCCTAATAATTTTATCTTACCTTTTTATACTGGGGCTGGCTAAGAACGGATGTAGGATGAAAACGGACTTTTTTCTCTTTTGGACCAGTCAAAACTACATTCTCTCTGTCAACATGAACGATATTTGGATACATTCCAGCTACTAAGGCTCCTTTAACTACAGCCCAATTTTCTGAGTTTGTATTCACATCCCTTATATCACCACCACCTCTGGCTCTAACAAAACCTGAAAAGGAAACAAATAACTGATTAATTATTTAAAAACCCAACTCTATTACTTGTTACGATTATCTGTCAGCCTGGATAGTTTATTAACTCTCACTTTGTTGTTAAGATATATTAATTGTACATTTAGCACAGATGAATTCTACTGAAAAACAGATATTGGGAATTTGCTCTCTACTTTATTTGGCTGATTTGTACTTATCTTTTGGTATCTTAATATCAATACAGATTGTTGAAGTTTGGCAGATACAGAAACTTATGTAATTCTGAATCTTCCATAAGACACTTTTTTCACCATTAGCAATTATACAAAGGTGTTAATAATCCAATTAAAGATACTTATGAATTAACTATAAATTCAGAAAGTGCAGTCTGGAAATACTTTTCCTTAAAACAATTAACATAAGCAACCTCTGAAAGTTTCTTTCTAACAGATATTCAGAAAATTACACAAAAATGGAATTCATTCCAATCCTCAAACATTTTCCCTATTTTAATATTTAAAATAACATAAAGGATAGGAACGTGAACTTGAATAGAAGAAACTAGTTTTGAACACAGAAATGAGTGATATTTTTGTGCAGTATTCTGAGTACTAGGTAGGCACCCCCTCAGAAAACCTAATTGAAATTAGTGGGAGAATGAATCATAGGCAAAATAAAAACAATATGGTAATTTATACTATTCTAGGTACAATGATTCGACTTCATTGTATAAATTACCTTAAATTCTGACAGATTTGTTTAAATAACTACATTTTTATTATTTTCCATGTGACTATTAAACTACATATAACAACTGTCCCTTTATTTTTGTATTAGGAAACTACAGTAATAATGTGGTATTTACTATGTGTGTCAATACTGAATACTGCAATGTGGCTTGAATAAATTACAGCAGCTTATTCTTTCCAAATATACCAAATCAAACACAATAAGGAAAGTTGTGGGTTTCTACATATGGAACCAAGAGATGGTTTTTGTTATTATTTATTATTATTATGAATATACAGATTTGTACCTGATGCTCTCAGCTGCCCAAGCAACTGTGTTCTCATTCCTATGATTATTTCCATGGTTGCCTGAGAAAGGAAGTTCTTCTCACAAAAAGCTCTTTCCCAGCCATCACTTCGTGCTTTCTGCCATGCCTGCCAAAGATGTTGGTTTAAAATGATTAGAACAACAGATAGATAGATAGATAGATAGATAGATAGATAGATAGATAGATAGATAGATAGATAGATAGATACAGACAGACAGACAGACAGACAGACAGACAGACACATCTGCAGTGGCCTTTCAAAACCTAATCCCTTTCCAGATTACAAAAAAAATATGTATTTCTTCCCATCTCTCAAACTTACAATCCTAAACCAATATCTATACTGCCTCTGCAGGCCCTTTGGACAGAAGATCAGTTTAATGAATCCATAATTCAAAAGGCAAAAACCATTGCACTGTCTCTGAAGCAACTTATTAGGAGTTGCAGAAGTCTTCCAAAATTGTGTCCCCTTGAGAGCAGGAAACTCATAACAGCTGAAAGGGAGAGTTCACCAAAAGTCCCTAGTTTCCTACAGCCACTGAGTATATTTGGAAAATAAAACTGACAGAAGCAATTTCCCACACAGCAATGAAGAGAGCACTTCACTCTTCATTGCTCTTGAACACTTTTCAAATCAAACAATCTTCTTGAGCCCTCCATTAACCTTTTCTTACATGCAGCAAATAAACCAAAGGACAGCTTTATAACAATGCTTTTTTATACAGAACAGATGTCCTTTTCCGACAGTATAATCTTTACAATTGTTTTTCTCTTATTATTTCAATTAATACAGGATTAAAAAAATATAAAAAATTTAAAAGTTTCAGCAATTGATTTTAACCATATTACAGCATTACAGGAACCAGAACTGCAAGCTGCAGAGGTTCCCACTTTTAACCCAGGTTAAAGAATGGAAGTCTTGAAATGATGAAGAAAAAACAGAGAATACACATAGAATCAATAGAACACTATTGTCTTTTGCCAGCTGGCAACAATGAAAAAAAGGAAACAAATAGCAGATGGCAAGCAGCGGCTAGCTGGCAGCAGCAAAAAGGAGACAGGAACTAACAACAATATAGATTAGATTTTCAAGAGCTCTGCCCTAATTATATTACTCCTAAGGTAACTTTTCAAAACAATTTGATCTAGCTAAAATAGCTTGTCTGTTTCATATAATCAAACATGAATTGTTAAATGTTCTTCTGGTAAATAAACATACAGTACCTGGAAAGCCCGAAGAAGGGCCATATGGTCACTAAATGTTCCCGCAGTAAATCGTTTTCTACACAGCATGGCTGCACGTTTTTGAGAAGCCTGTGTGGGTAGCACAAAAGGATCCCGATACGCAAGTGTGCAAGCAATTGTCAGAATAGGATCCAGGCACTTCAGAACCACAGCGCACAACACCATTTTCCCAAGATGGGGTTCTACAGGTAAGTCAGCCAGATGATAGCCAAGTTCTGTTAAATCTTCCCAGGTGTCCATAGCATCTATGGTCTATTAAAACAAATTATAAGCAATTTTGTAGACAGCCGTGCATAATCTGACATCTTTTCTGGGCCATAATTAAAGTTCAAATTCAAGTTAAAAGTTTTTTCATTCTCTTTACTCACCTTAAGCATCTGTACAGCATTTCTCACAATTAAAGCAGGAGGTGGTTCTGGAGCTTTCATTAAGAAGTCAGCAATTGGACAATTGATGGGAGCTAGCAATTTTGTGTGTAAACAAAGCTCCTATAATGTAAAGATATCTTTTTCAGATTATGACTTCATTTACAGTACAATCTTACATATGTCCACTTAGATGTCGGTGATGGAATAGAGTGTTTATTTTTCTCAATTTATTCTACCCATTGTAGCAACTTCAGCTTTTCTCTGAGGGAGATGAGTGGTTCAGAAATATGAAACATACATAAATATGTAAAGTGCTAAGAAAACTAGTCTGATTGAAAAAAAACATTAGATTCTAATATTGCAGTTCAACTTCAACATCTATAAATATTTTGTTTAACACACACAAACACACACACATATATACATACAATTTCTTTGCTTTTCATCTCTCAGTTCAGGAGACTCTAAGCCACTGCACAAATCACAATTGTCTTCTGACATTCAGGAATAATTAGCTAATATAAATTCTAATATTAATTTTTTTGGAACTATTACTGACTACGGACTTTACACAATGGAACATCACCAAAATATCTAGCAAACTCAATTAGTTTTGTAAATAACAATGCCTAGGATTATAATTCAACTGCATATATTTAAGGTATAATATAAAAAGGGAAATCTAAAAGATACATTAGCTTTTTTGACATGCTGAAGCAGAAATTGGCCTGGATCACTTTATATTTTTGATACTTTTTGAAATACTGAAATCACATAAGGTCAGATATTCTCAGGTAAAATTTCAAACATTTCATTGCAGACAATCTGTGAGATTTCAATGATTTAAAAATTATATTCCAGTTGACAAAATATTTTCCAGTGCAAAAAAAATGTGTTGCTTGAATCTTTAGGAATATTCCAAGGTATGTTGTATATGCAGGCATGAAAAGAAAACCCACAACAAATTCAACACTGCATATTAAATAAACTCTTGTTCAAGAGATATCCAGGCTGAAATGAAGGATATCTCATAAAAATCTACTATCCCATTAAGTATTTAGTATAATTTAACATTTAGCACACTTTAATACTGTTATTTTTTAATTTTCAAAAGATTTCAAGGTTTTTTTTTTCATGCAATGCCTTCAAAACATACATATTTGTTGTGCATAAGGCTCAACCAAAAATGGTTTAAAGTTTATTGAGCAAGCCAGGCTTACTCTTGTAAATACATACATACATACATATATACATTATCTGAACCTAGAAACCATCATTTCATATTTGCTTGTCTCCTCAGGCTATTTTTTGGATATGGAAAGAAATTCTTCAACTTAATTGATAAAAAATATCAGAAAGTAAAAAAACCTAACATTTCTTTAATATCCATTTCTAAATTAAAATGAATAAAAAGTGAATCAGGGGTATTTGTTAAATTTCACAACTTGTGCTAAGCCTCCCTAGTTGATAGGCTAACTTGAGCCAAATCCTCACAGGTGATCCAACAAATCATAGTTAAAATAAAGCACAATTTAACTCAAGCACAGTATTACGAGGTCTTAACAATACTCACTTGTAGAGGCATTCTTAGAAGTTCAGGAGTCTGAAATTCCAACATATTTTGAAATCTTAACCTACTGAAAAGTCTAAAACAAATTCCAGGTCGACAACGTCCTGCCCTTAGAAGTAAAACATTATTTAAGTTATATTAAAACATTAAAAGTATATGAGTAAACTATCAAAGCAGATTAAAAAATCATTCATTAAAATGTCTGTCCTAAGTTAACATTCTTTCCACTTTTAATTTTATATATCTGTGAGGCTTTCTTGCTAGCTCTAGAAAATGGATTTTTTAATGATGTATCTTAAAAATATCTCTAATACAAGTCTAGAAAAATATTTTTTTATAGTTTTGTTACCTGCCCTTCCTCTGAACAGCACTTGCTTTAGAAATCCACACCATCTTAAGCATAGTTACACAATTCAGTGCATCAAAGGACTTCTACAAATTTAAGAAAAATCTACATTATAAAACATAAATGTGTATTTATTAATTACATTTATATTCCTCTAGCTCTTGGCAATTAACATGATATAATTATGAACACCAAATTAGTAATTAAGATATATACATATATATATATATATATATATATGTACGTATGGTATTCAGCTTTGGTATTCAAATTTAAAACTGAAACGGCTGTGAAAGTCTGACTCACAGACAAACACAATACAGAAGCCTGATGATGGCAGATGAGATTCTGCCGAAACGTTGCTACAACTTTAAAAGCACAACTATAATGACGTGGGAAAATACCCGAACAAAGCTGAATACCATACATATAAATACCCACGAAAACTTAAGAAAACATATATATATAATGCCATCCTAAGTTTCTTTACATTTTTCTACAAAGTAACTTTCAATTAAAATATACATATTATAAAAATATCCATGACATTAAGGCAAGCATACCTCTTTCATTTTTCCTGAGTCAATCACAAAAACAACATCATTTACTGTGATACTGGTTTCTGCAATATTTGTAGAAAGTATCTGCAGAAATGAAAACAACAACCTTGTAATGACAGATTTATCTAAAAAAATCATTAAAGAACTAAAGTTATTTGATACTTGCTATTTTGCGGATGCCTAGAGGAGAAGTCTTTAGAACCTTTTTCTGATCAGACGTCTGCATATTTGAGTGTAGCATAAACACCTGGAATCTGATAGCAAAAAATCAGAATGGAATACCAAAAATATTGCAGTTTTGAAAGTAAATCAAAAAGCCCTTCAAAATAAAAATGTATGAACTTTTACCTGTGAGCATTATCTGCAAATCTTTTGTCATCAAAGAGTATGCGATCTCTCAATCCAACTATCTCATCATATCCAGGAAGAAAAATTAAAACTGCACCTGTATAACGAAGTTCAAATACTAAAGAAAAATGAACCTAAGCAATTCTAATTATTATTGCATTCAAGTTTCTCACAATTGATAAAAGTAGCTTCAGAATTTTGATGAGTTATATATGTTGAGAACTCTCAACTTTAGTTGAGAACTCACTTTCTAAAGGATTTTTCTATTATCAGCTAGTTCAGATTGTTCCTGAATGCAAATGCAAGAGAAATATAAATAAGCCAAGGTTTCTGCTTTCTTGCCTATGTAACTGAATGTGAAATCTCCTCAATTTCATTTATATGCATTTAGCTTTGCTCATAATTGCAAGAAACAAGTGAAAATATCTAATCACATGCTGCTGAAAAAATACAAAAAAAATCTCACTGCTGGATTAGGTTATGTGTATGTATACACATACATACACACACACACACACACACAGAGAGAGAGAGAGAGAGAGAGAGAGAGAGAGAGAGAGAGAGAGAGAGAAAGCGCCTTGGGGTACATGCTGGAATATAATGCAAGTAATCTATCCTTCAGTCACTGATTTTTAGCATATCTTATCTCTCAGGTCTTTCAGAATTTCTAACTTATTTTATAGTTATTTTAATTTCTTAGTCATCCTGAGCAAAAACACCTCTTTAATTAATAAACAAATAAACCAATAAATGAATTAAGCAAACCTTAATATGAAATAATATATTAATACGGGGCATAGCTAAATAGACATTACCTGCATCACAGCTATGGCAGATGTTGTATAGTAGGTGCATTATCAGGTCAAGATCTACCTTTTCATCATCAAAACTGTAGTGATAAGCTTTCAAGAGCTCCCGATCTTCTATATTCAGTTCACCGGCATTAGCATGGACCAAGGAACTTTCATCTAAATTACCAGACTCTAATGAGGCACTGAAATATACAGCAGAGATAATTAAAGTAAGCTAATATTTACGAAATAGGTGTTAAACCTAAAAAACAAAAATAAGAAATCCCAAAATGATTTTTTTCTCATTTTACAGATATTTGGAAACTACAAAGAAATCTTTCTAGAAATGCAACAGCATTGATTCAACAAAGACTGTTAATCCGGGATTTTCTGTCTATTTTCTCTTCATTCCCAAAATCCTAAAGAGCCAATAGTAATTCTATCTTGGTTAATAATCCACTGAATTTACCTAACAGAATAACTTCCATTAATCCATAATCTTACTCAGATGCTTTAATTTTTTTAATTCATTCAGTGAAAACATTGAAAAACTAATCTCCATAGAAAGCAACAGAGTTAATACTTTCAGTATGAACTATTTACTCTAATGTCAAGAAGATGAAAGGGGTTACGCTTTTATTTATTAGACATATATACCGCCCTCTTGTCTCTTCAAAGTTCCTTAATGGTTTCTATAACTCAAAGATGAGAATACAGAACCAAACCACTAATTCAGAATGTTCCAATAGAACAACTCATATAGTGCTGTTATGCACTTGAAATGACTCCCATTCAAAACTAAAAAAATATGTTTTATAGTACATTAAATTACCTCATTTTTTAAAACCTCTTCCCATACTGTGTTACAACTGCTCTTCAATGATGTTCCAGTTCATCCTATTTTATATCTTTCAAATACAAGCTACATTACAGAAACAAATCATTTGCTAATTTTGCCAGGACCATTAATGCCTTGTTTTAGAGGTAGCTTGACTTTGAACATATACAACAAGAAGAACATAAACTGTGAAGTGCAAAGTATGCAATAAAAATAGCTTGGGGATGATCCTAAAATACTTTTACTAAGCATTAAGAGTATCATTAAGTAACTCTTTTTCCCATTTCAATTTTATTATGATTTTTTTTACTTCAAAATGCTTAATCTGCTTCAAGAAATATAAATAGTCCTTGATTTACATTCGGCTAGTAACTGTTTGAAGTTACAACAGTACTGGAAAAAGTGACTTATGACCAGTTTTCATCCTTATAACCATTTCAGCATGGTCACATGATCAAAATTTGGATGCTTGGCAACTGGCATGTACTTATGACTGTTGCACTGTCCCTGGGTCATGTGATCACCATTTCTAACCTTTCCAAATGGCTAACAAGCAAAATCAATGGGCAAGATAATTTGTTTAGCAACCACATGATTCACTTAACAACTGCAATAATTTAACAACCATGGCAAAAAAGATCATAAAATGCAACTCACTTACTTATCAACTGCCTGCTTAACAATGGAAATTTGGGGCTCAATTGTGATTATCATTTGAGGACTAACTGTATTCCAAAAGGCCTAGATAGATTTATGTTAAGTAAAGGATCTCCCCAAATCAGGTATCAAAAGCATCCTAATCATGAAAAAGATTTTGATAGATTACTGCAGTGCATATTAGTAACAGAAAATACATTACCAATAGGATTCCAGCAGGTCAATTACTTCTGTCTGCCCAAAGTGTTTAGCCCAATCCAAAGCTGTCCTGTAAAAGTATTCAATAAAATGTTTGGTTTATGCACAACAATGGAACATTCTCAATCCTCTTTAGTTACATTCATTATGGGATTTGCCATAGGTCTATGAAGAACTTTTCAAACAAATGCTTCACAATGACATGTAAATCATGCAGGCAGCAGCAAATAGCTTAGAAAATAGCTACATAAGCCTAGAAAAAACAGGCCTGCTTTAATAGTTGCAAAAAATGTGCTTTCTATATGCTCCTTTGCACTTATTTTGAAGAATTTGAACAAGTCTGATCTGTAAACTTGTTTTATTACTCTGATATTTAATGAGTCTCTTAATGATAGGAAAAGAGTATCTTAATAATATTTGGATATCTAAGGTTGCACCTTTAACTACTGCTACTAATACAAGTAATCTATAGTATATAAAAAAGTCATTACATTTTTCAGGTGTCATGTTTAATTTAATTATTTGCACAACCACCTATCTATAGCTATTTATACCAGCCTCACAAGTTTGCACTGAGTGGAAATGTTCCAGATTCCCTGCAACTGAAGTTTTTCTATTTAATGGGATGTGGAAGATTTTCTAACATTTTGCGTGCCTTTCCCCAACCCACCTCCACAAATATTCTATCAACTTTTCATAGAACCAAGAAGACCTGGCTTTTCTCCTTGTATTGGGCAAAGACAATAACTAAGCCCAGTTTGCTTGTTATCTCCAGCTTTGGGTATGCAATGTGTGTCACTTGTGGTTGGTAAAGAAAATAAGCAGGTAAGAAATACACCGCAGAGTAGCATTGGTAGAGGAGCTATGACCGTTTTGAAAAACATAGTTGTATGCAGTGATGTGACTATATCCTCAAGATCAGAATAGTGCAAGTAATGGTATTTCCTGTGGTACTCTATAAAGGTGGATTTTATATAAGACTAGGAAGTATACTGATGCTTTTGAGCTCTGGTGTTGAAAAAAACTCCTCAGAATACTATGGATAGCCAAGAAAACAAACAAGTAGATCATTGAACAAATCTGCACAATTCTCATTTAAGAAACTAATGACCAGGCTCTAATTATCCTCCTGTAGACACATTACTCAAAGATCTAGCTCTAATGCTGGAAAAGGTGGAAAGAAAGAAAAGCAAGGGATGACCAGTAGCAAGTGGGCAGACTTAGTTACAATGGCAATGGATACACCATTTGAAAACCAAGTTTGGCACACATTATCATGGAGAATACATATATACACACATGCATACATATATATGGAGAGAGAGTGTGTGTTTCACTAAAATCAATACTGTCCTGATAATACATAATCAAATAATAAACACAAGCTCTTGAAGTGAAGGTGAGGATATATAAGACAATCAATTGCTTAAAAGTTAAGTTAGGTCTAGTACAGGCTTGTCCAACCCGCGGCCCACGGGCCGCATGCGGCCCAGGTCGCCTCGTAATGCGGCCCAACGCCCACCCCAACCTTCATGAAAGATCCAGCGAGGAGGAGGAGGAGAGGCAGGCGCGAGGCGAGCAACAGAAAAGGCGGGCAGCCGCAGCCCAAAAGTCCCGCCCCGCCACCTCCTGCTGTTGCCGCCGCTGCTGCTTCTGCCGTCGCTGCTGCATTTGCAGGAGGAGAGGTAGGCGCGAGGCGGGCGAGCTTTCTTCCCACCCCTCCCCCCCACCCCGCAAAATTTGGCCGGAAAATTATAAAATAAAAAATAAATAATTTTTAATAAATAATAAATAATAATTTTATTTTATTTTATTTTATTTTATTTTATTATTTAATTTAATTTAATTTAATTTAATTATTTAATTTAATTAATTATTTAATTTAATTATGTGCGGCCCAAACCAAATTTTCATCTTCTAATGTGGCCCAGGGAAGGTGAAAGGTTGGACACCCCTGGTCTAGTATATTATATCTTTCAATAAGTTAGGATTAATATTATCCTTTTCTCCTTCTTGCTCTGTTCCAATGCATTCAGGCTTTCAACTTCAAAAGAACTGATACTATGCATTTTAAATTAAACCTATTTAAATTAAATTAAATAGTATCAGATTATATCAGGGGGCATGCATAAGCGCACCAGCATGCCTACTGTCCCTGTCTTACTGTCCCCATTTATCTATATTTACTTCCTTTGTTCATGTTCATACCTATACTTGTTATCTTGTACGTTTGACAAAAATATAAAATAAAATAAATAGAATATGAAAAAATATCCTTCCTTGATCTAATACATTTTAAAGTGTATTTTATTAAATATTTTAAAAAGATAAAGAAAGACAAAAAGAAAAAATTACAACCATCAGAGAATTGGGTAAAGAATTTTCAATATTCAAATAACCAGTTTTAAATAATAGAATACAGTACATTGTTTTGTTAAAATCCAAACAATATATTAAAAAATCAATAGAAGTAATCAGCAAATCAATCTACTGAAGATCTATTCTGATTTAACAGATCCTTTTCAGCTGTAGTATTAAGACTTTAGATTAACAAAAACCACACATTTCAAATCCATATTTATTTATTTATTTGATTTGTCAATCGCTTAATAAGTATATACAGTTATGAATACATGAAATGGGTACATATAAGAAAAATAAAAGAAACAATAGGACAGGGACAGTAGGCATGTTGGTGCGCTTATGCACCCCTCTTAGGAAAGGGGTCAATAGTAGACAGTCTAAGGTTAAAGTTTTTAGGGTTTGGGGAAAAACCAGAGTCAGGTAGAGTACTCCAGACATTGACCACTCTGTTGCTGAAGTCGTATTTCCTGCAATCAAGTTGGTGTGGTTAACCTTGAGTTTGTATCTATTGTGCTCTTGTATTGTTATGGTTGAAGCTGAAGTATTCATTGACACGTAAGTCATTGCAATGTATGATTTTATATACCATACTTAGATCAGACCGAAGACGGCGTAATTCAAGGTTTTCTAGGTCTAGAATTTCAAGTCTGGTGGCATAAGGTATTCTACAACGAGTAGGAGTGGAGAACTCTTCTTGTGAAATATTTCTGGACTTTCTCAACTGTGCTAATATCAGATACATAGTGTGGGTTCCAGACTGATGAGCTGTATTCGAGTATTGGTCTAGCAAATGTTTTGTATGCTCTAGTTAGTAGTGTAATATTACCAGAGAAAAAGCTACGTAGGATTAGGTTAATAACTCTTAATGTCTTTTTGGCTATGTAGTTACAGTGGGCTCTAGCACTTAGATCATTAGAGATGAGTATT